ATACAAGAATGTTTTAGAAGTTTTAGTATAATTTTTATCATTTCTAAAGTTTGAAGTAAACTGATCAACTTAATTCACCTCAGTTTGCAGGAAAAGTTTAATTTTGAACAGATTGATGAGCTAAAGGCTTGTTGGARCAAGTCAAGTCCAAAGTGATTTTTTACTCCTAAAGCTGCTCCCTGTCTCCAAACAAAAATATTATTTTATGAACCTTTACAGTGCTGTATATTTTWTGGCATTAAGTTTATGTTTATTTATTTTATTTTATTTCATTTTATTTTATCTATTTATTTTGCATGGAGAAATGGCGATAGCAGCACTTTTGTTACAGCCTGGGGCAAATTCTGCAACAATATTATATTTCTAGTAGAAAAGCAATTTATTTTAAAACTGACATCAGTGTAAAGTTTTATAAACCAAAACTGGCATGAAACAATATTRTTTTAAAACAGAACTCATCCAGTTTTGTTAACTAGTCAGTTCAGTCAAAATTAAACTCTTTCTGCAAACTGAAATGGTTTAAAGAGACACTTCAGGTTTACTGGTTCTTTCCACATAAAGTTCWAACTTATTACTTTGATATTGTATAAAAAAAAGTCAAGTTTTTGCTGTAAGTTATCATTTTTTTCTAAAATCTGTAAGTTAGGTAAGTAAAAGCTACATTGTAAGTTTTATGTATAAAGTGCTAAGAATTGCTCTCTATCATATTTTGGTGATATTTCATTRTTTGAGCTCTGGCTGTGTATAAACCATATGAAAAAAAGAAAGAAAGAAGAGGAGTAGGAAATGTGTGTTTATTCTGTCCTAATTACAGTATATATCTGTTTAATTGTGTGTGTTTCTGCCTCTTTTTGTGCCATCAGACTGCAGGTGTACAGTCATCAGTTTGAGAACATGTCATCAGAACAGCAACAGGCGGTCCTGAAGAACTTTGTCCTCCTCTTCTTAACGGCCCCTCACTCAGGTACTCAAACATCTCCGTTAATCCCTGATTTGCTACGAGGTTGTTCATATTTGCAGTTTTTTTGAGGATCTTTTTGACCTGTTTCAGGCCCAGGATGTGTGTCCTCCTTCAACAGCAGCGCAGAGTGGCTGAGGAACGATTTGGGTCCATTTTCAGAGTTTCTGTCTGTCAAACAGCTGTTTGATCTCAACCCACAATTCAACCCTGTGAGACTCAACTTTTACAACAAAGAGGATTATTTTTTTAGAAAAGAAGAGTTTTTGTGAATAACTTGTTTTGTGTGTTGCAGCTGGAGGCTCTTCAGCTCCTCACACCTAAGCAGAGCGCAGAGCTGCTGGTGCTGACTCTTCCCACCCTCCCCAACAAAGACGTCCTCATCAACGTGCTGTTTGATTACCTGACTGTGTCGCCCACACAGAGGAAGCTCCCAGAGTTCCTGTCTTACCTTGTCACGTTCCTTCAGACGGTAAATAGGAAGTAGTTCTCGCGTTGCTCACGGTTTATGCTGAGGTAATAATTTCTGATGTTTTTCTTCCTAAAGGGAAACCTTTCCTGTTCGTCGTACAAAACACTGTGAGTTCAGATCAGGACATGTTGGGTATTTCTGAGCTCAAATAGAAATCATTCAGGAGAAAATGCTGGGAAATAAACAAACTTTATTGCTTCAGGTTTACTCGACTGGACGAGGCCATGTCTGGAGCTTCTTCTGACCTTGCTTCATCCATCTTATCCAGCAAGTTATCTTTGTTCCAACTCATACCACCAGGTGAGATGCTGTGTGTTTAGTTTGATTCGAAAAAAACTGCTCTTATTGTCCTATGTTCAGCCTTATTTGTCGGCGACTTCTTTGAAAAACATGAATGCATCATTTTGCCTACATTTATGGTGGACATGGTGCTACTTTCTGTAGATTCTTCAAATGATAGTGAACCTAAACCAGGCCTAAAGTCACAAACTTTATGTTGTATAATTTTCATGATCAGTTTCCTGCATCAAAGACACATTTTACTTTTTAGACCCATTTAATTCAAATATATGCAATAAAGYTTTTAGTTTTTGGTTTAATTAGAAGCTCAAATAGCTTGAAATTTATCTGCAAACATTATAATAATATATATGTAATAATTCAACAAAGTTAGTTTTTTTAAAGCTTAATGAGAGTCAGAGAGATGTTACGTTGTTTCAAATGAATAATATGGTGTCACAATCTGCGAATCAGACTTAATATTCTTGATAAAACAAGACAGTTTCTTCAGATTTGCCTAAAATATTTACGTGGAATTTATGATATACTTGTTAAAACCAGAATATCATACAGAAATAACTTTATTTTGGCCATTTAAAGTCAGACTATGACAAGAATTTTTATAAAAAAGTGGGAAAAAGAGTGATTATCAAGATAATTTTATCATAAAGTCACCACAACTATGTTGTATTTGAAATGCCAGCTGTGAATGTAAACAACCTGGTAGTTTCTTTAGTTTTTACAGAGCCCACCTGCTGACAGTGGTGAATCATATTTTTTTAGTGGCCACATTATTATTATTATGTCACCAGATGGGCTCCTTAAGCTTAAAAAAAGTCACGAACTTTTATTTTGTGTTAATTTTGTGCATAAAAACTATAGATCCTAAATGTTTTTCTGATTTTATCGAGATATTTTTTTAATACATTTTAATTTCTTGTGCTGTTTTATTTTATTTTTTTAAGGTTGCATCATATACAGTGGAGAGGTAAATATAAATTATTTTTGACCGTTTTAAAATTCACTTCATTCACTTTAAGCTAGTTTTGTCAAATATAAACTTACATACATCTTCAAATTTCTCTGTCTCTCCAGTGTAATGTGACAGTGATAAATGGTAAGTGTCTCACTGCTGAAAAATCGGATTTAAAGGGAATTATTGTTTTAATTATTTTCAACTGAATTATTTCATGTTGTTTTGTTTTTTTTTTTTTTTTACAGAAACCAGCATCTGTAAGAGAGTGAACAGGTAGGCTTATTCAAAAGTCTCAGTCATATTTTACTTTTAAACACATCCTGTTAAATATTGAACTAAAGTTGATTTTGTGTGTTATTTTAAAGCACACAGCTTCAGATCCGTCTCAACACTGGGATGATGAGCGGACACGTCTGTGACTTCACTGTTCAGGAGTTTGCCTGTGCTTCGGTAAGACAGACAATCATCAATCATCCTAAAACTCCAGTTGTGATAAAAAAAAAAAATCCTCGGCTTCAGTTTAACATCTCACCTGTTGTCTCAGCTCTCAGCTTTAACAGCTCAGGACCTGGCAGAGCTGCTGAAATGTAACCGTTTCTCTAACTCGAGTGGCACCACAGCCGCCTGGAAGCTGCTTCTCTCCAAAGCCTCGCTGGTGCTGAAMCAGGCTCTGGATCTTCTGGTCAACACAGTATGGATGATTTTTAAATTATGCAAAACTTTATGAGAAGACAACAATGATAAAAGTCTCCCAGAATTAATTTGTTCAGTCATTTGCTCGTGTTAGTTTTGGCCACTAACTTTATTTTAATGACAGTAATGTAACATATTTCTGTGTTTCAGACTCTGAACCCCAGCAGTCCTTCTGTGTCGATGATTCTGGATGCCATACGAGAAATCTGGTTGGACGGTGTCAACGTGGGAAGTTTCAATGACCCCTCTTTCATCCAGCTGTGGTTTAACCGCCGCCTCCGTCTGTTCCTGCCTGCTGTGTCCTCTGACTTCCTGTCATGTCTCTCCACTAAAGCCCTGGACTGCAGCTCCTACCAGCTCATGTAGGCAGAGTGGCATCAATTATCATTTAAAATCATTTTCTACATTTTATTTTACAGTCTCCCTTTCTGAACTCAGTTTGCAGATTCTGAGTGAAGTCAGGCCGCAGATGACACCTGCCACACAGATGTCGGTCTACACACACTTCATTGAGGTTTACCTGACCAGGAACAACACTGCAGGTGGGCGCCGGTGTCACTTTACAAATCCAACATCATCACCAAAATCTTATATGATAATTTGTATTAAAAARCACTTTTTTTTCTGAAAACGTATTTGGTTTTATACGACCCCTACAATATTTTGAAGCTGATTATTTTCTTAGTAAAGAGGAGTGTGTTTTTGTGTTTCCGTGGWTCAGATCCTGCCTGCAGGTCGAACATCACCAGCAGCGTCGAGTGGCTGCAGAGGAACCTGGGAGGCTTCTCCGCCCTCCTCTCCATCTCGGAGATCCAGCGTCTCTACCCCGACTTTTCAGCGGTCAGTTTTGTTGCGTCTTCGCTCCTCTTGGCTTCATTCTTGTCGTTCCGTCGCCCGTTAGGTTCGCAGTAAACACGTGTCTGTGTGCCTGCAGCTGGATGCTCTGTCGCAGCTGACAGCCACGCAGCTGGCGGAGGTGTCCGCCACGCCTGGGCTGCTCACGTCTGCTGACCAGGTGGCCGTGGTGATGAGACTTGTCCCCGATCGGCTGTTCGCTTCCTTCTTTGATGACTTCGCTGCTGCCATCACGGTAGGCAAACGTCACACTGAAATAGAGCCATGGGTAAAGGAAAGTCTGCCGTCTTGGCAGCAAAAGTGTTTGTTTTCTGTCTGACTTGTTGTCTTGTGATGATGTTTCTTCAGCTCATAAAAGTTTGCAAATATTCGTTCCTGCATAACTCTTATAAGGTCCCATCAGAACACYTTTTTTAAAAAGTGGAGGTCTAAATAATTGGATCAGTAACTCACAACCAGGGTTATTATAGTTGACTAAAATTAACTAAATAACATAAACTAAAATCGAAAAAAAAAAAACATTTTAATTAACTAAAATAAATAAAAACTGTAATAA